GAGAGAGAGAGAGAGAGAGAGAGAGAGAGAGAGAGAATGACAAGCACTTCCGTCTATTTTACGCCGTGCTAGCAACGCAGGAACTACAACAAGTATGACGTCGGCTGACGTCCATGTCGTGTCGCGCTTCCCCGCTTGTGCTGCACGTGATACGTGATGTGTCCGCTGACGGGGCGTGCATGGGGGTCTTTAGAATGTGCGGCTGCTGCTGTTCCCATCCAAGCATGTCTACACCGAAAACGTTACCACGATACAGGTTCAGCACTAGCGACAGCGGCAACACATCGCAGAGCGTTCCCATCCAAGCAGGTCTGCACCGAAGAACCTATCGCCATAGGTTCAGCACTACGGCAAAAAACGAAGCGATTGCGTGGAAGAGCGACCGCAACCGCTGACTGCTGTTTGACAGAAAGCAGTGGCTTAGGGTGTACCCTGACTTTCCCTGATGGTTTCGCCTGTGCTAGAATGCTTGGTGTGTTCTTTTCAGCGAAAGTCAGACGTGCTGCAAATATGCCCTCACCAAAAACAAGATAGCAGGCTGATGACGCGAGTCAGCAGTCTCGATATGTAAGCGATCAGTGCTACGGCGGTAGTACAGCAGTGAGCAAGCAAGGTAACAGAAGCGTGTGCCACCCCTTTGTAACAGGTGCGCGGAGAGTCTTCAACCAAATGGAAATTGATTCAAAACGAAATGATAAAAAAGATATACATGCCATACAATACTGCTGTATTGTTGTGCTGGGTAGGAACAAAGGAAGATAGGGTGGAGGTATGTGCGCTTTGCCTGGTCAGCATTTTCGTCGATTGACGACGAAACCATAGAGAACCTTGGTACTAGTCCGGAACCGTTCCGGGAACCAACCATAAACGAGACCACAAGCACTGCTCTCCCGGAAACGTTGCGGGAACCTTCTAATCTTACCTTGAACTTTTCCTGAGGACGTTCCTGAGAACCGTTCTAGGAAATTGTGCACATCTAGGAAGCATTCTACGAACCGTTACGGAATCTACCGCACCCGTCTGGATTCTTCTAGATCGTTTTCCTGAAATAGATCTTTAAAGTTAAAGATTTTTCAACGGCTTGTCATACCGAGTTTAGTGTGCCATATCACGTATACTGAAACCGGTATTGTTTTGTGTTATGAAATCGCTCATGATGTACGTGACATCGTATATTGCTATGTTGTATTCACTAGAATGCCTGTAGCAGCAGCCTCAAGTTGCTACTGATATTTTGAACGCTGTTTTTCCAAATATACAATCGCTGAGCGGTCTTCATTGCACGACCTCTGCATCAGCACCCTTACTGGTACAGCAGCATCAACAACACTGTTGCTACACAAACAATCGCTGGGCGGACGTGAATGCCTCTGCATCGACATTGAGATTGATCCGGGTGGGCTGACTCACCTCTTGTTCCTCGGCGCCCCCGTCGCCGTCGTCTGAATGCCTCTCTTCGAGGGTCTCGTGGCCATGACACCCCGTTTCCGAGGCGGACGAGTGGCGTGGGTAAAAGACATCGGCGAGGCGTCTGCGTAAGACCAAGGTGGCTTGCTCTGGAGACAGCACGCAAGGAAAGCTGTGCTCGGGAGACTTGTTGCGAGCACGCCTGTGATTTTGTTTTCGTTTATGGAGGCGAGCGTTTGGTGTTGTAAGGGCTGGATAGGGAGATGGGGATTCGTGGAGACAACGCAACAGCGGGATGAGGGAATGCGAAAACGCTGCAAGGCGGCAGGCACCTTTTCGGTAAAGAACTAACAGTATTTGTCAGAGCAATCTCTTGATTGAATGGAGAAATTCGCGCTACCTCAAAACATTTTTTCGGAACAGGCGAGGTGGCTGCTACTCGGCATCAATATCTTCCGTGGAGTATTGAATTAACGGCTACTTTTGAGCCAAGTCTAGTCTGTCAGGCTAGCTGCCTAGTATGCCATCACTCTGCACTCCACAGCTGCCACCTTGCCCCGCCCTAAATGTCCCGTGCCCCCCCGGTATAGCACGTTGTGTCACGTGCCATCGCATCAAATACACGATTCGCCTCGACAGAAGCTTGCCACGGATCATACATGCCACGACCGTACATGATGGTGGTCCCGCTGATGAGAGCTGTTAGCTACTTGCGCGAACCACCTCACCACCCCATACCACGCCAGGCTGAATCACAGATCGCACCGCGCCAGACGACGCCACACGTACCTGACGCCGACAGGAGTTGCCCAGATGCGATGCTCGGACAGGAGGGTGGCCGCGCTCGCCGGGTCGTACACCAAGACCCTCCCGTCCACGACGTGCACTTGGGGGCGGCGGCCGCTCCCTCGAGCCGCCGCTCCCGCTGTCAGCTGCTTGCAGGCGAACAGAGCCGGACCATACGTCAAGCGGGAAAGACGCAGCCGCGTGGTTAAGGACTATCGCCCGGCAAGGCGAAAAGCGTGGATGAAAAGATGCCGCTGATAAAGCGTCGGCGTATTATTGGCTCTTCTATTGTCACAGAGAGTGCACACAAACATATGCGTGCAAGATCAACACACGTACGCGCAGCACTTCCATCCGGAACTGGGGGACAGGGGGCGACGGCACGCTCTAGATATCTGAGATCTCAAAGAAAAGTTCAAGGGGGAAGGTGTTCGTTGCGTTGGGCGGGCTTGTCTGCAGTGTCTCCTCATTATCTTGTCACTGCAAACGTACATGCGTCCGAAGCTCTCGTTGGACTTGGGGGGTTATTTTCTCTGTTTTAGTTCGGATCGCACCATGAGAATGCAGCCAGTAGGGTGTGTTAGGTAGCGGCCTACGTGCAAGCCGAGGGGCCCCCGTTTGGTGCGGGTAGTTGCAGCCCCAACACACACCTGCACGACGATGGGCCGGCTGCACTCCTCGCTGCGAACACGACAGCACATAGAGTACATAATTGTTCTAATGGTCAAGAGGTTGCAAAGTAATTTTCTCACACACGCACGTCGATCACAAAACTGTTTGTCGCTTTTTCTATTCTTGGCGGTTGTGATCTTGAGATGGGGTTTTAGAGGGGAGCCGAGCGGAACAATCGGCCTTTCAGAAGCTGCACACCACTGTTTACTCTGTCGCTGTGTCCCTCCAACAGTGACAGTTTCGTGTCGGATGGCAAATTACTGGCTCTATTGGGCTGTTCGACTACAGAGCGTGTTCTGGGTTCTATGTGTTTGAGCTTTGAGCCGTGTGAGGTTCACTCCTCCATCTTTCTCTGTGTTGCCTTATTCTCCCTTCTCGCCCTCGGGGACGGAAGGCAACCGACCGATAGCACACAACACAGAACATTATCAGCTATTCGATCTGCATGGGATCGACGTCAACGGACTCGGTTGCACCAACAGGCTCTCTGTGGATGATGGTATCACGTCTTTTCTCCGACTGGTATAGAGCAATTTCCTGCAGGATTCGAGCTTTCGTTCCAAACTTCATCTGTCTGTGTGCCCCTCCCCCCCCCCTCTGCTAAATCGATGAAGCGTACTCGAGTGGGCGGGCACTCAAATATTTTGAAATTGGAAAAATATCGTGGGTCAGACAGATCTCTACTATGTACGGGATCTACCGTGTGTGTAGTAGTAGTCCCATCTATTCTGGGACCAGTCTACACACGTTTCGGTGAATATGTTTGGCGTATCAGCCAGGGTCACACAGGAGAAAGGTCACACAGCTCCCGTTCGGGAGCAACGTGGCTTGCCTCCTGGGGGCGATCCAAAAGGACATGTCCGATGTCATCACGGTTGCATCGTTGCATCTCAACGTTCGTAGTGCCAGGGTTCCGTACAACCTAAATAATTTTGCGTCATGTTTTTTTCTTGTCTTCACATTAAAAACGGTTCCGGTCTCCGCTCCTTACCTTCTAATGCCCGTACTGGTCCAACAGACACATGGGCATTTTTTCTTCTTCTCACGGTGAATTTTCGCGAGCTGATTTCGCGTGTGAGTGAAGGTGTGCTTTGAAGGCTAGCGGCGTCTTCGCCGCAGATCCTACTGCTGTAGCCCGCTGCGCAAGATCTGTTGCTCGTGGGAGTGTGGGAACACGCGTGTGCGTGGTGCAGGAGCCAAAAGTCTTCCTGTTTATGCAAAACAGTCCGTATTTATTGCTTAGGCTTTTTTGGTTTGGAAATGCCTCCCCGCGTAGCGAGTCGGGGCGACATTGGGCGCCGATTGCACGTGCCACGGATGCCTGGCAGTCATCGGGTACGCGCGTAAATTCACTGACGAGCTCCCTGCGTGCCTGAGAAGGAACCATAAAAAACCTTCCCTGCCACAAGAGGAAGTTGCGCCGACAAGCACGAATAGTCGCCTGTTGTGTATGCCGACCTCCTGGGATGCGTTTGATTATTGTGGTGAGAACGTTCAGCCGTCCATTTCCCTCGTTGACCGTTAAAAAGAGAGAGCATCGAACTCCAACCTGCTATGCTACAGCTGCTACAATCATGTGTCTAGACTAGAGAGTTGGTTTAGGGCTGAATCCACCCAGGGACCTGGGAAGACCACATATGATGGAAGTGTCGGTGGTCTACGATCATACGCTGATTGCACCACCGGGGATTGCACCACCGGCCCCCGGTGGCGCAATCAGCGTATGATCGTCGATGGCGACGTTGACTCCTCGGGCAGCTATATGAAGTCTGTTGGGTACCGACATGAAGAACGTTTAAACAAAGCCACCCGGTACTATTATTAGTCTATGTACACAGAGAAGACCTTGACTGCCACTAGCTGCGTACCTCGGTATTTATTTTTATTTTTCTCCCATCATTGTACTCCACCCCCCAGGTGTTTGCCATCGGGGTTGGGTTTCGTCGCTTGGCAGCGACGTTGTAAAACAAGCCGCCCCCCCCGGTGTGTGCCATCGGGGTTGGGTTTTCGTCGCTTGGCAACGACGTTGAAAAACAAGCC